AACAACGTTTGAGAATGCTGTGTATTTGTATTTGCAAAGTCTTGTTTATTCTATAAATAACATAATATACTTCCGCGTTTATATAGTAAAGTGTGTAAGAGTTGAGTACATAGTGTAAACACTCAAATCTGGCAGCCGTTAATAGCTGTTACTCTCAATTGAACTACTGTCCCCTTCCCCAAAGACAAACTAAATCATGTTAAATAAAAAAGAGAGAGGATATAAAATATATGATGATAGAGAGAATGCTGACCCTGGTTAAGTTAGGGTGATGGAATTAGGGATAATTGTCTCTTTTCTCTGTTTTCTACACATCCCATGATGTAATTTTATTATTATTATTATTTTTTTTTTTACAGAAAAGAATGCATTTATTATTTTAGAAGAAAGGCAAATAAGAAGAAAAACACTAAAGCAACCGCACTGAGAAACATGACTGTAAGAATCCCCTGGGAGGAAGCTGTGTTAATGCTGTCATGGCTCTTGATCCCTGGGGGGTCTTGCTTTCACAAAAGGGCCCATCCACCCATGTGTCTCTTCCTTTTATTGCTCTTAAAGTTTTATCCTTTTTATTTTTCATTTTTGTATGAGCTCTCAGATTGAAAGTCTCTTTTTCTCTCTTCTTTCCCTCTCTTACCCTAATGTCTTCTTACTTGGCTTCTGTGATGGTTTTGTGTTATTTGACATAAAATGTCATACTGACTGTCAGCCCTGAAATAAGGAGTTTTATACCTTGGTATGTTTTAATTTTGACATGAGGTAATTGAACGTTAGGATATATCACTTTGTAAAACATTGATCTCGTTTCTTATCTCCTGGTAGAGTGAATCAGCTTCTGTGGATAATTTTTGTGCCATGAATCAATGAACTTGTGGGTTTATTTTGCTAATTAAGTGTTTCTATCAAATATCCTTATCTATACAGGAAATGATTTCTTCTCATAGTTTGTCCTTGTCAGGAAAGGAATAGTAATATCTTTTGAAAAAACAGGTGTAAACTCACCGACAGGAACAGCATCAAATCTAGGACAAATTTTGTACTCATGTGTTTATGTGTGCATGTGCACGTGTGTGTGTTTGTGGGAACATTCACACACATACAGTAGCTACTCGTATTTTTTTTTTTTTAAGATTTTATTTATTTATTTGACAGACAGAGATCACAAGTAGGCAGAGAGGCAGGCAGAGAGAGAGGAAGGGAAGCAGGCTCCCTGCCAAGCAGAGAGCCTGATGCAGGCCTCGATCCCAGGATCCTGAGATCATGACCTGAGCCGGAGCCGAAGGCAGAGGCTTTAACCCACTGAGCCACCCAGGTGCCCCAGCAACTGGTATTTATAGAACTTCTCTTGGGCTACTACCAAGGAGACTTCACTTCAAGTAAGGAAGATACAGTTTCACAGGACTGAGAAAAATCTTTAGTAACATCATTTATGAATGCTTCTATTCAAATGGAATGCCCTTGTGGTTGATCTAATGATAACTTTAACTTTTAGGTTGTGAAGTACAGAAATATAAACGGTTTAAACCTTGTGAAAATTTACCCATATATCCTACTCGCCTAGTCTAAATCTTACTTGCCAGTTTACGAAGGCAACAAATTTTAGAGACAAGAGTCATCATTTTTATTTCCTATCTTCTTTTAGGGAATTCTTTACATATTACATAAGCTCTATAGGCAAGGTGGGGCTTGAACTCACGATCCTGAGGTCATGAGTCTCATGCTCTTCTGACTTAGCCAGTCAGGCACCCTAATTCTTTAAATTTTAAATTACTTTTATTTTTCCAAATTGCTGGATAAAACTGCCGATTAGAGGAGAAGGAGTGGAGGACATTTTCCTGAAATGATTTCTCCCCTAATGATATCTTAGTCTTATTGAAAAGCAGCTTCTGTTTTAGAGCAAATACATAATACTTCATTATCTCAAAAAAAAAAAAAAAAGAGAGAATGAAAGAGCTATTTTAAAAATAGCTCTAGATACACCTAGATAGATACACATTTTAAAAACGTGTATCTATCCCAGACAAAAAAGGAGCTTTAATCTTTTTTTTTTTTTTTCCATTTTAGCTAAATATTTCTCTTCTCTGAGCATACTAGGAAATGTTTTGTTCAAGAAACCCCTCCTGGATCAGTAAAGACTGGAAAGAGAGAATAAGCAAAAGGCAGAATAGTCAGGCCTCTTGGGTCTTACTAGGGAAACTCTTGGAGCAGTTAGAAAGACTGGGTAGAGGGCGCCTGGGTGGGTCAGTTGGTTAAGTTGCTGCCTTAGGCTCAGGTCACCATCCTGGAGTCCCGGGATCAAGTTTCACATTGGGCTCCCTGCTTTGCAGGGAGTCTTCTCCCGCAGACCTCTCTCTTCTCATGCTCTCTCTCTCTCAAATAATAGATAAATAAAATCTTAAAAAAAAAAAAAAGACCAGGTAGAAGTAAAATGAGCTGACACTTTCCACACCTGCTCCCTTACTCCTCAGAGTGTTTCTGAGAGCTCACATGGCAGGGAAACCCCTGGAAACAGTCTCACTGGAGACGGGCACTGAAAAAGAACACGGGCCACGTGATCACTGCCAGCAGCTGAGGGCCAGGCAGAGGAGTTGGGGTTTTGCTCTCATTAGTTCTGGGCAGTCATGTTCTCTCTCTCTTCTTTCCCTCCTTCTCTTTCTCTCATTGTGCGTGCACGTGTGCACACACACAGACACATAGACACACACACTCCACAAGATGATTAAAATGTTCATTATATGTATGTTCTACTCAGAGACCAAAAATGTCAGCCAGACTCTTTCTTAGGTATTATTGACCCATTGAAGTAACAAAAGTAGGCATTTGGGAAGAGAAGTAACTTTATATAGATACATAAATTACATTTTTTAAATTTAGAAAACACAAACAATAGTGGTGTTTCTGGAAAGTAGACTTGGCATCTCTAGAAGTAGTTACATGAACTTGATAAAGAATAGAAGTTCCTTATTCTTTCAGATCTTATGAGTTATTGTTATAATTCATAAGGCCGAATTTTAATACAAAGGACTATAATAAAACAGTCTTTGAATATTAAAATAATCCTTCCAGAGCCTATATTAAGCTTTGCAAATTTTAGGCAAGGTATTGCATTGAAACTCGACCCAAGATATATACACAGTAGTAAGTAATGTGTTGCTGTGAAAGATTTTTGGATGAAAAAAAAAAAAAGAACTTCAGGTATTAGAATATTTGATTTACTGGATTTTGGCTCCTGTTTCTTGTGCAAAGCATTCAGACTGAGACTTTACTATGATTATCTAATCTTACTCCATTCTTGGAAGTTTAGCTTCTGTAAAGAGTGGGAAAGGAGACCCTCCTGGATTGTTATGGTGAGTATTTGGCTATGAATGAAATGAACGTTTAAATCTCTAAGATTTCCAGTAATGTTGAATTTGGCTGGATCATCTATGGTTATAATATTTCAAGCCTTTAAAAATCCATGGAAAAAATAAATAAAAGTATGTGGTTTCTCAAACAGTGATAATACTTTCCCCCCCCCCTGATTAGCATTTTGTTTTTACCCTCACTGTCTACTTCAAACAAGTTATATGCAGTTTACAATATTTGGAGCATCTGGTTGCTGCCTATAAGCACTTTGTGTCCCCTGGCAGAAAGCCCCCTGCAACACTGAAGAATGGTTTTCTGGAGGAATAGTAGAGAATCTTGCCTTTATCCATTTTTCTGTTTGAATTCAACTTTTAAGGTAGGGCTGGGTTAGACTTATTTTTTCATTTTCTCCCTCCTCTCCCTCTTCTTCTCTTCTTTGCCCTCCTGTTTTCCCTTGCTTCCTGTTTCATTGTTCCAGTCTCCCTCTACCCTAGGTTGAGTAACTTAAGCCATCAGCGGTATTAGAGGTTCTTGTCCAGCAAGGGCAATGTAATACTCATGTAGACAACCCCAGGTGTCTCTAGCTTTTGCCTTCTCCTGAGTCCTTACCTATTTTTCAAACCATTTTGAGTAGGGACCCATTTGTTCTTTGAAGAGAATTCCAAAAAGCAGATAACGTGTTGGTTTGTATGCCTTATCACTCATATTGAGATCCTGTGTGGATTTCTGTTTTGGAAAAATAATAGCTTTTAGTTAGCAATAATTGAGATGAAGTCTGGGTAAAATTTCCTGCAAAGTCTGGGGTGGGAAGAAGTTGGAAAAAATGTGCAGGTGCTTTGAGAATATACATGAAAGCCATGATGGCAAGAAGTGGTGGGAAACCCTCTGGAAAGAGAGCAGTAGATGACAGTGAGGGAGCTAGGGACCTGGTAGGGGCAGGTGAACATTCTTTCTCAAGACTCCTATAGCACAGGAGGCAGGAATAAGAGCATAGCCTTCTGTCAGTCTGAGGACCCTCAATCCCTCCATGCCCTGGCTCACAACCCACTTCCAGTCCTTTCCATGCAGGTAGCCATGAGTCCCTGCCTCAATACACGGGGTAGCAAGGCAATATGCTGAGTTGTGTCTGAGAGGCATCTGGAAGAGGTGAGCGGTCTATAGCTGTGACTGTTCCCCTTTTTGCTTACGACCTCTTGTGACAACTTCGTGTCTATGTGTTCTGCACACTCACAATGTGTGCAGAGTGCTGTTCGGACATTTGATCAATTGGTCAATTGGTTGGATTTATTGATCTATCATTTGGTTACTTGTTTTTGCCCAACATTACGTTGCCTAAATACTTGCATTCTGAACCTACTTCTGATTCACAGAGCATTAGTCTACTCTCACCCCAAGCAAATAGGATATGATTTTTTTGATTACCATCTAAATATTTTACCTGACAGAACTCCAAAAAGGGATGAAATGTATGTGTAATATATACATGTGTGTGTGTATGTCTATATATGTATATGTGTATATATTTGTATGTATATATAAAAAATATATGTGTATATATAATATAAAATACACACATGTATATATAGGCGCATAAACTCATATATGTATATATTCACACACATATGTATATATTCAGACACATACACATATATGTATATACATTCAGACACATCCATATGTATGCATATATTATGTATATACCTACATGGAACCTGGACATCCATTACTTGCTATGGAACCTATCAAAACTATATAGGGAAATAAAATGAAACATCACATTTTTCTATATTTATATATTGTAGTGGAAGTGTTGAAACACCAAATCTAATTGTTGATTAAGAAACTGAAATAAATACCATCTCAATGGAGAACTAATATGAATTTTCTATTTGTATGTTTTGTTGCCATTTGGGAAAATTATACTATCAACCAGCGTTAAACAGAAAAGCTGCAAATGGGTTATAAATTGAGAACAAATAGCACAGGCTGAGAGTGCTCTGCACAACATTTGAAAATGTCTTGATTCTAATTAAGTCTCTTCCCTTAGACATCCCTAGCCCTTAATGCCTTTTCAGAAGACAATCTGTTATGATGATGTACCGGCAGGAAGAAGAGCTTCGGAAGCACAGTGAGGCTTAGTCTACTCCTTCCAGGTTGGTGTCGGCCCCTTGGGGCAGCCCCTCTGGCGCTGCTTCGGGTGGGGGTGGGGGCGGCGGCGGTGGCCTCCTGGGCCCACATGCGAGCACCGCTGCTGGAGTCTGCTCACCTGGCCTGGCTGGTGGGGCCTGATCATTTGCTTCCATTGCTGATAGGGGAGCCTCGGCGGGGGACTGCGGGGCCTGACTGGAAGCTTCTGCCTCTGGCTTCTGGGTTGGCTGGTCAGCCTGGGCTGCTGCAGGGAGACCCCGGTCTTGGGCCTGTGCTTCCGACCCGGCGGGGGGATTCCCGGGCCTGGGGGGCAGTTCTGCCTCACGGCTTCCTTCGGCTTCCGCCTGAGGAGTTGGGGGAGGCAGGGAAGGGCATAAGGGGCTCCGAGGGGGCTGTTCCGGCTCCCGCAGGGCTGAGTCAGCGCCCCCTTGAGGACTGCGGAATTCTGGTTGGCTTTCTCTGGCCAGGTCAGGGGTTGACTCTGGATGATGAATGACCATGAAGGCTGTGGCCAGGTTTTTCACAGCGTCGTGAACGCTCTCAGCTTCCTTTGTATCAACCCCCACGCCCCCAGACACGGCGGACTCGGGCTCTTCGTCGGAGGTGTGCTGACCTCGGTCATCCGTTTCAGGCATTTTTGCGTCTCTAATTTTCTTGTACAGTTCATTTCTCTCTTCTTGTAAAGCTCGACAGAGGTTCTCCAGCCTCCCGATTTTCATGACGAAGCACTCATATTCTTTAGCTCTCAGCGCTTTCTGTGATTTGAAAATAGTAGAAAGCGTGGGGGAGGGGGACGGGGGTTGGGGGAGAAGCATAAAACAACAAAGCAAAATTGTCAGGATGCTCTCTGGAGACAAGCAAAACCATTTGCCCAGGAATCTGTCTACCAGACTCTGGGGCCTGACCGCTAGAGGTGGCTGGACAGACATCTGGTTGGGGCATCACAGCTGTTTCTTCATTGTGTGTGAGACTCTGGTAGAGTTTTAATCACCGTATCCTTTCCTTTGGGAGAGGAAGAGGGCAAAGCTTCTCTTTGCTCCAGTCCAGGGCCTCTAAAATCTTAAAGTACATGCATTTTTTGCTTGCAAGACTGAGACGTCTTCCAGTGGCACAATGAGATGGAGGGGGGGCGGGGGGACATGGCTGTCAGCAGTGCCTCATCTAGTCTAGAGATAAACTGCTGTATGCGATTCTAGCAACTGTTTGATTTATGTTGGTGAATAATAAGCTCATCTCTTTGGAATTGGTTGCAATTTGGGACGAATTGTTAGAAGAGGAATTATAACGACAGAAACTCCCCACACACTAATTCATGATGCTGCCTGCTCAAACTGTTCAGTTCTCCTCTTTTTCTGTACAAAATGTTGGTGTGTTTGTGCATGAAATCATTCCTAGTCATCTTATCTTTGCCCCCACCTTTGTGCTACTTGGTACCCTTTAAGACTTTTTTTCTTTTCTTTTTTTTTTTTTTTTTTTTGCTTGTTGATACGGAGAGACCTTTGCCTGTAAGCTCCACTTCTTAGATCCAGGACCATATATCTTTGCCTCAACATCTACAGAGCTTGACATACTATTCGTAATTAAATGGCTGTTGGAAGAATTAAACAATACATCCCCACATCTGTCTATAAAGTAGTACATACCCTGAGTGCTCAGGCTGGTGTCTTCCCTCATAGGTTCAAATCAACTCACTAATATATTCTGCACCTGCTATGTGCCAGGCACTGGGGAAATTCAAAGACAAGTAAGACGCTTGTCCTGTCTTTAAGGAATGCAGCTGGGCAGGCATGGAGCTGATTTGAGGACAGCTTTGGACTCGGCAAGTAGGCAGGTGACCTAGGGTCACAAAGCTCTTTGTGAATCGGGATCCGAGTCTATTTTGCTAATACTTTTATTATAATTTCATAGGTCACATCTCAGAAAAAAATCAGCTCTTTTTCAAAGATTATAATTTGTACTATTCAATCATAATAATCTCCTGAGTATGAATATTTGTACTGAACAGAAGAGAATAAGTTGGGGGAAGTCTTCTTACCTCTTCAATCATGTCCAGCAGAGCTTTGTTGCAGTTCTCAAACCGGGCTTTCCACATGGCTGTGTCCTTCTCTAACTTCTTCATTTTCTTAGTTGTCTACAGAAATTGGAATATTTTAATGTTAATCCTAAAGACTTAATATATCAAAAAAGGCTATTAGTTCCATATGTGATGCTAAGAAAGGTCCTTTTGTTTCTAGCTGCTGAAGCAAACAGGTCTGATGTTGTGGAATGAAGATTGAGTGGGGAGAGTCATATATGTTTATGAATCATCTAGGTCAGTGTTGAATGAACTTATTTGGACCAGAGCCCATTCAGGAAGAAGGAAGCTCCTTAAGTCTGCCCTTCTTTTGTCACTGTATTTTCCTTAGTTTAAAGTAAAAGTAGCTTTATTTAGTCACAGGAATAAGCTTGCAATTTAGATTTTTTTTTTTTTTTTTACATTATTGAGTAAGAGACTATCAGTGGGAAAGCTAAACAGGCTCTTTACCATTAAAATGTTGATACTATCTGGGCACATCTGAAAAGATGCTATGCAAAGACAGCTCTCTATTTTCTCAGTCTTTACATTTTAAAAAAAGTTCTTAAATACTAGTAAGTTGTCATACAGTGTAATGTTAGTTTTAGGTGTACGGTATAGTGGTTCCACGTTTCCATCCATTACCCCGTGCTCCTGACAATAAGTGCCCTCCTGCATTCCCATCACCTATTTCACCCATCTCCCCATGCATCTCCCTTCTGGTAACTATCAGTTTGTTCTCTTTAGTTAAGAGTCTGTTTCGCCTTTTTGCCCCTCTCTTTTCCCCCTTTGCTCATTTGTTTTATTTCTTAAATTCCATGTGTGAGTGAAATCACATGGTATTTGTCTGTGACTGACTTACCTCACTTAGCATAATACTTTTTAGCTCCATCCATGTTGTTGCAAATGTCAAGAGTTCATTCTTTTTCCTGTCTTAGTAATATTCCATTGCATATAAATATACTTCATCTTCTTTATCCATTCATCAGTCAATAGACACTTGGGCTGTTTCCATAATTTGGCTATTGTAGATAATGCTGCCATAAACATTAAGGTGCTTGTTTCCCTTTGAATTAGTATTTTTCTGTTCTTTGGGTAAATACCTATTAGTGCAATTGCTGGATTATAAGGCAATTTTATTTTTAACTTTCTGAGGAATCTTCATACTGTTTCCCACAGCGGCTGCACCAGTTTGCATTCCCACCCACTGTGCAGAGGGTTCTCCTTTCTCCACATCCTTGCCAACACCTGTTGTTTCCTGAGTTGTTAATTTTAGCCATGCTGACTGGTGTGAGATGATATTTATTTGTAGTTTTGATTTGCATTACCTTGATGACTGATGTTACGCATGTTTTCATGTGTCTGTTGGCCATCTGGATGTCTTCTTTTTTTTTTTTTTAAAGATTTTATTTATTTATTAGTTAGAGAGAGACAGAGAGAGAGAGCATGAGCACAGGCAGACACAGTGGTAGGCAGAGGCAGAGGGAGAAGCAGACTCCCCGCTGAGCAAGGAACCCAATGTGGGACTCGATCCCAGGACGCTGGGATCATGACCTGAGCCGAAGGCAGCCGCTTAACCAACTGAGCCACCCAGGCGTCCCCATCTGGATGTCTTCTTTGCAAAAATGTCTGTTCACATCATCTGCCCATTTTTAATCAGGTTATTCATTTTTGGGGTGTTGAGTTTTAAAAGTTCTTTATTTATTTTGGAAACAAACCCTTAATCAGATATGTCATTTGCAAATATCTTCTCTCATTCCATGGGTTATCTTTTAGTTTTGTTGACCGTTTACTTCACTGTGCAGAAGCTTTTTATTTTGATGTATTGATGTATTCCCTATAGTTTATTTTTGCTTTTGTTGCCCTTGCCTTAGGAAGTGTATCCAAGAAACTGCTCCAGCCAATCTCAAAAAAGTTACTACCTGTGTTCTCTTTTAGGATTGTTATGGTTTCAGATCTTCTATTTAGGTTTTTAATCCATTTTGAATTTATTTTTGTGTATGGTATAAGAAAATGGTCCCGTTTCATTCTTTTGCATGTTGCTGTCCAGTTTTACCAAAATCATTTGTTGAAGAGACATTCTTTTTCCCATTAGATTTTCTTTCCTGCTTTGTCGAAGATTAATTGACCATAAAATTGTGTGTTTATTTCTGGGTTTTCTATTCTATTCTATTGATCTATGTGTCTGTTTTTGTGCCAGTATCATACTCTTTTGATTACTACAGCTTTGTAATATAACTTAAAATCTGGAATTGTTATGCCTCCAGCTTTGTTTTTCTTTTTCAAGATTGCTTTGACTATCTTGGGTCTTTTGTGATAGTCCTAAAATATAAATTTTAGGATTGTTCTAGCTCTGTGAAAAATGCTGTTGGTATTTTGATGTATTAAATGTGTAGATTTGCTTTGGGTAGTATAGACATTTTAACAATATTTGTTCTTCTGATCCATGAGCATGGAATATCTTTCCATTTCTTTGTGTCATCTTCAGATTCTTTTTTAAAAAAGAATTTATTTATTTATTTGTGTGAGAGAGAGGGAGAGAGCACAAGAGAGCACAAGAGAACACAAACAGGGAGAGCAGCAGAGGGGGAGGGAGAAGTAGACTCCCCATTGAGCAGGGAGCCGGCTGTGGGGCTTGATCTTGGGACCCTGGGATCATGCCCCTGTCATCTTCCATTTCTTCCATCAGTGTTTTATAGTTTCAGAGTACAGGTCTTTTACCTCTTCAGTTAGGTTTATTCCTAGGTATCGCATAGTTTTTGGTGCTTGTAAGTGGAATTGTTTTCTTTCTTTCTCTCTTTCTTTCTTTCTTTCTTTCTTTCTTTCTTTCTTTCATTAACATATAATGTATTATTTGCTTCAGGGGGACAAGTCTGTGAATCATCAGTCTTATACATTTCACAGCACTTACCATAGCACATACCCTCCCCAATGTCCATAACCCAGCCACCCCATCCTTACCCTCCCACCCTCAGCAACCCTCAGTTTGTTTTGTGAGATTAAGAGTCTCTTATGGTTTGTCTCCCTCCCAGTCCCATCTTGTTCATTTTTTCCCTCTCTACCCCCCACGAGCCCCCACCCTGCCTCTCAAATTCCTCATATCGGAGAGATCATATGATAATTGTCTTTCTCTGATTGACTTATTTTGCTTAGCATAATACCCTCTAGTTCCATCCACGTCATTGCAAACAGCAAAATTTTTTGATGGCTGCATAGTATTCCATTATATATATACCACATCTTCTTTATCCATTCATCTGTTGAATGGACATCTAGGTTCTTTCCATAGTTTGGCTATTTGGACATTGCTGCTATAAGCATTTGGGTGTATGTGCCCCTTCAGATCACTACATTTGTATCTTTAGGGTAAATACCCAGTAGTGTGATTGCTGGGTCATAAAGTAGCCCTATTTTCAACTTTTTAAGGAACTTCTATACTGCTTTCCAGACTGGCTGCACCAGCTTGCATTCCCACCAACAGTGTAGGACGGTTCCCCTTTCTTCACATCCTTGCCAACATCTGTCCTTTCCTGGCTTGTTGATTTTAGCCATTCTGACTGGTGTGAGGTGGTATCTCACGTGGTTTTGATTTGTATTTCCCTGATGCTGAGTGATGTTGAACACTTTTTCATGTCTGTTGGCCATTTGGATGTCTTCTTTGCAGAAATGTCTGTTCATGTCTTCTGCCCATTTCTTGATTGGATTATTTGTTCTTTGGGTGTTGAGTTTGATAAGTTCTTTATAGATTTTGGGTACTAGTCCTTTATCTGGTATGTCATTTGCAAATATCTTCTCCCATTCTGTCAGTCATCTTTTGGTTTTGTTGACTGTTTCCTTTGCTGTGCAAAAGCTTTTGATCTTGATGAAGTCCCAATAGTTCATTTTTGCCCTAGCTTCCTTTGCCTTTGGTGATGTTTTTAGGAAGAAGTTGCTGTAGCTGAGGTCAAAAAAGTTGTTGCTTGTGTTCTCCTCAAGGATTTTGATGGATTCCTGTCTCATTCATTTGAGTCTATTTTTGTGTGTGGTGTAAGGAAATGGTCCAGTTTTATTTTTCTGCATATGGCTGTCCAATTTCCCAACATAATTTGTTAAAGAGACTATCTTTTTTCCATAGGACATTCTTTCTTGCTTTGTCTAAGATTAGGTGACCACAGAGTTCAGAGTCCATTTCTGGGCTTTCTATTCTGTTCCATTGATTTATGTCTGTTTTTGTGCCAGTACCATACTGTCTTGATGATTACAGCTTTGTAATAGAGCTTGAAGTCTGGAATTGTGATGCCGCCAACTTTGGTTTTCTTTTTTAACATTTGTCTGGCTCTTCGGGGTCTTTTTTGGTTTCACACAAATTTTAGGATTATTTGTTCCATTTCTTTGAAAAAAAAAGGTGGTATTTTGCTGGGGATTGCATTAAATGTATAGATTGCTTTAGGTAGCATAGACATTTTCACAGTATTTTTTCTTCTAATCCGTGAGCATGGAACATTTTTCCATTTCTTTGTGCCTTTCTCAATTTCTGTCATGAGTACTTTATAGTTTTCTGAGTCCAAATTCTTTGCCTCTTTGGTTAGGTTTATTCCTAGGTATCTGTGGTTTTGGATGCAATTGTAAATGGAATCAACCCCTTAATTTCTCTTTTTTCTGTCTTGCTGTTGGTGTATAGAAATGCAACTGATTTTTGTGCATTAATTTTATATCCTTTCACTTTACTGAATTCCTGTATGAGTTGTAGGAGTTTGGAGTGGAGTCTTTTGGATTTTCCACATAAAGTATCATATCATCTGCAAAGAGGGAGAATTTGACTTCTTTGCCGATTTGAATGCCTTTTGTTTCTTTTTGTTGTCTGATAACTGTGGCTAGGACTTCTAGTACTATGTTGAATAGCAGTGGTGATAGTGGACAGCCCTGCCATGTTCCTGAACTTAGGGAACTGGGCTGGAGACTAGCCTGATCCCCTTAGGGGAATAGCTCTCAGTTTTTTCCCTGTTGAGAATGATATTCGCTGTGGGTTTTCCTCATCTAGAATGATATTCTCTGTGGGTTTTTCATAGATGGCTTTTATGATATTGAGGTATGTATCC